AGATGACCTAGAAAATTGAAACCTGGGTTGCAAGGCCACCAAAAGTAATCAAGGGATCTCAAACTACTAGGTTACAGTATACACTCCTGACCAGGAATTCCGAAAGTATAAATTCTAAGCCACATTAGAAACATGAAACTGGAATTCTAGGTCACAAGACAAAACAATACTAAACTTCTGGATTCTAGACCCAGGGCCTAAAATCCCTTGGCTTCTCAGATGACCTAGAAACCCAAATTTTAGATTTCCGAGGACCACTGTCATCTAGGGTCTCCAAAAAGGATGTTATGAGTGTTCAAACAAAAAACACTTTGGATTGCGTGTGGATCGCAACGTTCAAAAAAAAAGATAGGAAGAAAAGGGAAACGGAAGGAGCATGGACTGAAAAAATAAAAGATATGGGGGACCTGCTCCTTCTTCTTTTACTCCTGAGGAAGCCGAAGAAATGCCTGAAGAAAAAAGAGGGAAAAACAAGATTCGACACAAAATAGGATTTAGGACGATTTGAGGTTTGCTCCGCAACTCCTTCTCTCTCAGAAAAACGACTAGTCATCGCCTTATTTTATTGTTTTTTCGAGACTTGTTGCTTTCATGACACTGACTCTGAAATTTGTCTGGAAATGTCTAGAAACTTCGGGAACTTTTGATCTATATTTGGAACGGAAAAAGTAATAGAAGGCCTCAATTATCTGATAAAATTTTTGTAATATTATGATAAACGTTTTATCAGTTGACAACTTTTTCATATCTTTGACAGAAACTGAGATAATTGAGCTCAAAGTTGGAAAATCGGCGTTTGCCGGTTAAGCTACACGGTTGGCTGCCAACCTCTCAACTTTAAGCGTAATTATCTCGGCTACTGTAAAAGATATCAAAAATGTGTCAATTGATAAAATATTGATAATACTATGATAATTAATTTATCAGTTGACAAATTTTGGATATCTTTTACAAGAGCCGAGATAACTTGGCTCAAAGTTAAAAGTTAGAGGGGGAGGCTTCTTTTACAAGGTTAACGGTACTCATTTTTCAGGGCTCAAAAAACCATCAAAACACTCCCAAAAAATCTCTCAAATTTTCAAAAATCTCCGATCAAAAAGCCACTTTTTTGTCTGAAAATTCAAAAAAAGCATGTAAACATTTTTGACATTTTTATGAGCCACATTTTTGGCGAATATTTGAATGCACAAACACAAAAGAGAACCACCCCCCCCCCCCCAGCATGAATCGAAAAATAGATATGAAAAAGTGTCATAAAACTCGAGAATATGCATATCAAAAATTTTTTGTCCGGGAAGAGGATTTGTGTGGACTGGACAACTGTTGGTACATACAATTTTTATGGGAATATTGGTCTCCAGGGGGAAATTAAAATTTTGTAGAGAAGTGCAATAAGGAACGTTTTGTGGAAAAAGTGTCTAAATTTGGAAAATTTTGGTTTCTTGGGAGGGTCTAGAAAAAAGATAGGTCATCTGAAAAGCTGGTCCAGGGAAGTTAGGTCATGTAGAAAACTAGGACGGCTAGGAATCTCGGCCGCATAGTCAAGAATCTAGACTGCATGGTCAAGCTAGCCCATCGAGGATCATGTCATATGGTGAGACCATTAACAGGGAATGAAGGTTAAGATATGCCATATAAGGAAAACTATACCATCAAGGGAACCTTGGTCACATGATCAAGCTAGGCCATCAAGGATCATGCCATCTGGAAGAGCTAGACAATTGAAAGGGAAAACCAGGTTAAGCTAGGGCATATTAGGAAAACTAGGCCACGAACTAAAAAGCTAGGCTATCAAGGAACAGAACCATGAGACACAGCTGTACCAAAAAAGAGGTAGATAGGAAAACTAGGCTGCCAGATGAAAGCTGGAGAACTAGGCCATAGGGTGAACATAGACCATCTAAGGAATCTTGGCCATATGGTGCGATATGGAAGAGCTAGACCATGGAAAGGTTATTAAGGAGAAGAGTGAACGCTAGGCCAGCAGGAAAATCTAGATTTTGAACTGAAACTATAAGCCATCAAAAAATCTTGAAAACTCGGGTGGGGGGGGGGGGGGACTTTGAAATCTAAAAATCGAAAAACAACAAAAATTGCCTGTGCTCCTGTGCCTGAGAAAATTGACATTTCTCGTCTTCTCCTTTTCAAGTCGTGCCCATCTTCTTTTCTTCTTCAATCATCGAATTCAATCTACTTCGCTCCTGCCTACTCCTCATCTTTTGGGGGCCGGCTCACTCGAGCAGCTCATTTCAGTGATTTGATTTTGGGGAAAAAAGAAGAGGAGGAGAGAAGGAAAACGATTCGACTAGAAAAACGACAAAGAATCCTTTTCTCTATTTTTAGTGCTGGAAGGAATTGTTACTCTGGGAGCAGAGAACCATCAAAATATGGGAGGTTTTATGGGGGGAAATTAGGAAAAAAATAGGCAGTGGAAAAAGTTAAAATTACTTGAAAAGAATTAAATGTGTCCAGAAAAAAGATAATTGAAATTAGTAGAAAGCAGAAATCTGATCATTTTAAATATGTCTGGAAATATCAGACAATATATTGCCTTCATCTAAACCGTAAATCAATAAATTCGAATTTGACCCCTTCTTGCATGACCTCCACATCTCGTCAATAACCATAAAAGGTGTGAATTATGTTATTTATTATTACTATTGTTTTTTTTACTTTACATACCACCTGCTTACCAATGTCCCCTGGGAAAGCACCAAGCCTTTGAAGACGCATATCGCAAAAATCAGGAATTTTACAAAAATTTTACTAACTGGAAAAATATTCAAAATCAAAAACTTCCTATTTTTGTAGTTGACAACCTTTTCCTAGCTACCGTAGTTTTGGAGATATGCGCCTTTAAAGTTAAGGTGTTCCCAAGGCATGAGAGGAACGGGTAGCTGTAGGCACCCGAACTTTAGAAACGCATATCTCAAAAACTACGGTAGCTCTTGCAAATTTGCAAACTGAGAACTATTTAAAATTAAATTTCACACATTTTTGCAGTGTACAACTTTTTTCAGCTACAGTAGTTTCTGAGGTATGCGTCTTTAAAGCTAGCGCGCTTCACACAATTCTCAACAATTCCGGCCAATGAGACGTGTTAACTTTAAAGGTGCATAACTTTAAAACTACGGTAGTTAGAAAAAAGTTATCAATTTGAAAATTGTGTGAAATCTTATTTCACATATTTTAATAATTTTCAAAACTTTGCTAGCTCTTTCGGTTTATGAGATATACGCCTTTAAAGATGGCACCCCTCCCCACCGCCTGGCTCGCGCCAAGCAACGAGGCGTGCCTTTTTAAAGGCTCATAAATCAAAAACTACAATAGTTGGGAAAAAGTTGTTAACTACAAAAATAAAGCTCGGTTCTTGTTTTGTATCTGAAGTTTTCAAAATTCTAGCTGAGTTTTGAAAAAATATACTTAATTTTAAAACCAAAATGCTGCTATTTTTTGACAAATTTCAAACTTTCATTAAACTTTTTCTCTTAAAAGAACGGAAACGACAAAATGGAAAATAGAAAAGAAATTGGTTCCAATTACTTAGTAGTATAGACGAGGAGAGAAATTAGAATTTGAAATTTTCTTGAAAACTTTTTCCCTCCTTCTTCTGCTTCTTCTTTTGACATAGAAGACGAAAAATTCAAAAAATTCGAAGGGAAATTAAATTTTTGTGTTTTCTTTTTGAGAAGATGACACCGTTGAAGATATAGCAACAATGAGAAATGTTGAATAGAAGATATTTAAAAATTGAGGTACGTGCAAAAGAAATGTCCCAAAAAGAGTCGGGTGGCATTTTTATGAATGTGTGAAACTTCCGGAGCATTTTTTGGGATTGACAAATGACGTTTTTCGTATATTTTGAGCTATATAGTTTGACCTTTTATGGTCCAATTTTTTGGAATTTTTATCGAATTTTTGAAAATGATTTAAAAGAAAACCACCGTATTTCCTTTAATAGAAACCGACCTTAAGCCCAATACTTTTGAGCTCAATTATCTTGGTTCTAAGAGAGATATCAAAATATTGTCAACTGATAAAATATTGCTGATATTATGATAAATATTTTATCAGTTGTCAAAATTTCGGTATCATTCCTAGGAAGCGAGATAAATTGTCTCAAAGTTGACAAGTCGGCGCCGCTTGCAGGCTGAGCAATAAGGTCGGCTACCGACGTCTTAACTTTGAGCTCAATTATCTTGGTTTCTGTGAAAGATATAGAAAATTTGTCAACTGATAAAATACTTATCATGAAATCATTAATAATTTATCAGTTGGCAAATTTTTAGTATCTTTACTATGAAGCGAGATAAATTGTCTCAAAGTTGGCGGTTTGGATGGGTTCCTATTGAAGAAAATATGGCAATTCGAAATTTGATTGTATTTAAATTTAACTTGAAATTTTTAAAAATTTAAATACCAGGACCAAAAAAAAATATTTCAGGACCACCAAAATTTTTTGGACCCCAAACCGGAAGTTTTGTGGGATTTCATTGCTCATTGAAGTGCATAAAAATTCAGGAATTGTGACGTAAATTGGAAAAAAAATCTGAAAATGTTTTTTCTGGAATTCCGAAAATACAATTTTTTGAAAAAAGTGCATTTTTCGAAATTCGAAATTCAAAATTTTAGAAAAATTTCAACCCAAAAAAGCCAAAGAAAATAAAACAATAGATTTTCATTTTTCCGACTTTTTGACACATTCATTTTTCTCTCTTTTCAAGAAAAATCCTTTGGGGAGTTTCCGGAAATACTTTTGTGTGTAAAACTTTTCAAAATGGTTTCTTTTTTCCTTTTTTTTTTCGAAAATTCTGGATTTTTAGATTTTGAAAATTCATTTCCAATTTAAATAAAGAATTTAATTAATTAAAATTTAAAAAAAAATAAAAATTAAAAATAAAATTTGTGAGACCTGTTGAGAAGAAAGTGTGTGAAGAAAAATATGGCATCATTCAGAAATATACAGAAAAAATGATCCTAAAAAGTTAATCAATCAATAATTAGACATATCGATTTCTATCAAAATTTCGCATAAAATCTGCTAGTCGCGGGTTGGGTTGAGGAGAAGATATCGATCGGATTGAGCCGCCAAAGTCCTGGAAAAATCGATAAATCGATAATTGATTTATGGCCTCAAAAAATTAGGAGGACTTTAAAACCAAGAAATAACTAAACTACAGTAACCCAAAAATTTCCCTTTAAAAAAAACTAAAAATCTCTAGACATGGAAACTTACGGGCCCCGGAGATTGTCTCTGAAAGGTTTTTAATTGAAAAAATTGAAAAAAATTAAATCTACAGTAATCCCAAAAGTACCTGCGCATCGGAAATCGTTGGGTCCGAACATGTGGTCGCTGTTTCAGAGCTGTCAGCGATGTTTCGAGATAGTTTTGCTGGAAATTCAAAGTATTAGAAATGAAAATTATTAATTTAAAAAATCTTAATTGCCCAATTAACTCACAAATTGCTACAACCGCAGCCACAGCGATTACGGCAATTACCCAGAAGAGAGAACTTGACGTGGCAGATTTTATAAAGTCTTCCAAAGTGTCTGGAGATCCTGATGATAATTTTACATTTGTGGAGAGAGCAGATGTCAGGGCTTCTGGAACAAATTTAAAAATTAGGGATTACTGTAGATTCCCTAACCATCTACAGAATTGACTCCTTTTGTCAAGCGTTTGGTGAGAAGGAGGCCAGTTTTGTTGGTATTTCCGCAGGATGGTGGCTGGAAAGTACTTTTTTTTTCTAAAATTTTGAAAATCAGTGTCTTACTGTAACTCCTTCACACCCATCTCCATCGCGTGTGCAGAGCGACAGCTTGCAGACGAATTTTAGAGATTCAGCGTCCTGGAAAAAGTTAATTTTCAGGTTAAACTCCAAAAGAATCTGAACCTATGAGTATCCAAGAACTCGAGAATTTTAATAACTTCAAAAATTTCAAAGAGTTTAGAAGTTCTGAAAGTTCAGAAAATCAGAAAAACTCGTAATAGACGGGCCCCCTCTCTTTTAACTTTGAGTCAATTTATCTCTGTTCCTTCAGAAGATATAAAAAAGTTGTCAACTGTTAAAAAGTTTTTAATAATATGATAAACATTTTATCAGTTGACACATTTTTGATATCTTTTATAAGAACCGAGATAATTGAGCTCAAACCTGATAGTGCCCTTCTATTTAGCTCAAATTTAACAGTGTGAGGGCCCTTCTAGTACAGGTTTTACAGTAACTTACATGCACATTGAAAACATGGCTCGCCGCCCAGGCAGTCAGCGAGTCATCAGCGTAGGTCAAATCTGTGAGCAGTGCCAAGTCGGATGAGCATCCACGTGGATCAACGAACGCAAACTTTCTCTCGACATCATCACTAGCATAGCAGCTATGGATCTGAAAAATCTCATTTTCTCATTTACTGTTAAAGATATCAAGAAGTAATAAACTAACTAAACGTTCCTTATAATATCAGAAATGTTTTGTCAGTTTACTACTTCTTGATACATCTGACAGAAATTGAGAGAAATCGGGTTTAATGAAAAACCCCATACCTGAATTCCATAAGCCTGAGTTGTCTCATTAGTTCCATCACATTCCCATCGATGCCATACAGTTTGTCCAACTACAGCCTTATTCACAATTGGTCCATCTGGTCCATCCCTCCGAATCGAATAGGTACAAGTTGGCGGTAGGGTAGACAAAGAAATCGTTTCAGCAATCGCCAGCTCACTTCTGACGACATCTAGATTTGTGGAGAGCACTGCATCCTCATCTGGCGGAGATCCTATGAAACATTGAAGGAGATAGGCACGATCTTCAGCTGTATTCAAGTCATTTTCGTGGAGGAGGTGGAGGACGAGACTTGAGTTGAGGCCCTTTGGATCGGAGGATTTCACTTGGGTCACACCACATTCTTCATTCGAAATGAACAGGTTTAGTGGGGTCGAGGAACGCGCGGTCTGGAAGGAAGTTTTAGTTTTTTTAGCTAGAAGACAATTAGTGTTTCATTTTTCTAGTTGACAACTTTTTTCTAGCTGTCGTAGTTTTTGAGATATGCGCCTTTAAAGATGGCGCGCATAACAGCGTCTCGATGAACCAGGGGGAGGGAGGTGGCTATCCCATCTTTAAATGTGCATAAAACTAAAGGAACTGAACATGTCAACTAATGAAATGTCTATAATATGATTATACATATTTTCAAAGTTGACACATTTTTCTAGCTACTGTAGTTTTCGAGATATGAGCTTTTAAAGGCGGATGCTCTGCTCCTCCTCCGTTTTCTCAGCGCGCCATCTTTAAAGTCGCATATCTCAAAAATTACAGTAGTTATCGAAACGTTATTAATTAAAAAAGTATGTAAAGTTTTATTATCAAGATTTCATTAGTGGACAAATTTTTTCTAGCTACCGTAGTTAGTGAGCTATGCGCCTTTTAAACATGACGGGCCTCCCGTCGTCTGTCTCCCAAAAGGGGGGGGGGCGGTCCAATTTAAAGGCGCACATCTCTAAAATTACGGTAGCTAGAAAAAAGTTGTCAACTACAAAAATGAAACTCTTGTATTGTTTCATCTGATTCAAAAGAATCCCAATAAACAACCCACCGCTTTACATCTAACATCATCTGCGTAACCCTTCACTACAGCTACACCCTTGAAGCCCTCTGGTGGGTTGACCTGAATCTTGAACCCATCTCCAACACAATCCAAATCGATGATTCCAGAGTTTTCAGTATTCTCAGGACGTCGGGTAACCAATTCCTGTGAGTTTTCATCAAGATCTGGCAAAACTGGGCTTAGAATTCCGGAATTCTTGGGTTCCTGGCCTATTGGATTCGTTCCTGGTGGTCCGGAAGATCCAGAGGACGCAGACGAAGAAGAAGCAATTCTCTGAGCAAGTTTCCATGACAAATCCTCATTGTTTCCATCAAGACCAAACTCATTTTCAGCTCGATTTCCAGACAATTCATTCACAAACTGTTTATCAGCTTCGATTGTGGTAATCACCAGAACAGTTACGTTATTCTCTTTTGCCAAACGAGTCGGTTCTTGAATCCGCCCGTTTGATTGACCATCAGTCACAATGATCAGCACATTTTCAGCATCTGGGCGGTCTCCCTGGGAAATTGAACTTTTAAAAAATCCAAAAAAAAAATGGGTCCTACTCGTTTTTTAGTAAAGGCGAACTGCGAAACCTTTTCCAGCGCCTTGGTGAGTTGGCTTCCTCCCTGAAGAAAAAAACAAATTTTTTTCAGACAAGTCTAAAATTTTGAGAGCTTCAATTTTACAGTTGACACCGCTTTTCTACTTATTTTGGTTTTTGAGATATGCACCTCTATACTTGGCGCCAGGCTAACAGACGCGCTGACTTTAAAGGTGCATATCTCAAGAACTAAACGAGAAAGATAAAAGTGTATAACTATGAAAATGTGTGAAATGAAACTTTACATTTTTTCATAATTGTCAACTTTTTTGCAGCTTCCTTGATTTTTGAGTTATGCGCCTTTAAAGTTGGCACCCCTCTTCCCCGCGCCGGGCTTACAGACAAGCCAAATTTAAAGGCGCATATCTCAAAAACTAAAAAAAAGACATTTTTTGCTAACTATTAAGTTGTGTAAAATTTAATTTTACACATTTTTGCAATTTTCAACTTTTCTCTAGCTCTTTTGATTTTTGAGTTATGCACCTTTAAAGTTGTCATCTTTCTCCCTCGCCCCAAGCGCCGGGGTAACAGACGCACTGACTTTAAAGGCGCATATCTCCAAAACTAAAAGAACTAGAAAAATTGTGAACTGCAAAAATTCTTGCCCAGCCCTTGCCCAACCCCTACGCAACCCACTGTCATAAACTCTGTATCAGCGATATCATCCAACAAGTGCTTTTTACAATTATGTTTCCTCAACGAGAACTCCAAATACGGCTCATCATTATACTGAACCAAGGACACTTGTACACCATCCGATCCGAAATTATTGAATTTCGAAACTGTCTCCCCAATTAGCTTAATTGCCCGATGGAATCGTTGTTCGTTGAAATTGTCAGAAGAATCCAGCAAAAATAGAATATCCGTACGATTTCTATCCAGATTCGGCTGATTCGGCGTTGGACACTGACCAGATGGAATGACGAAATTCGGTTGAATTTCTTCAGAAGACGACATTTTGGGTTTCGATGAGTGCTGAAAAACTGGAGAGTCTGGAAATTTTAGACACAAATTTTTGAGAAATTGGTCAGTTGAAGCTAGAAGCGTGAGACGCTAATTATTGAGAAAGGTGAACTGTTAAGGAGAAGAGTTAGCTGGAAATTTGAATCATTCTGAAAAATTGTTTTATAACCTAGAAAAAATTAGGTCATGACCTAGAAAAAATTGGGTCATGACCTAGAAAAAATTGGGTTATGACCTAAAATAAATTGGGTTATGACCTAGAAAAAATTGGGTCATGACCCAAAAAAACTAGGTCATGACCTGGAAAAACTGGGTCATGACATGGAAAAAATGAAAATCTAAGTCATGACCTAAAAAACTAGGTCATGACACAGAAAATTGAAAATCTAGGTTACGGCTTATAAATTAAAAATCTAGGACTGAAAATGAAAATCTAGGCCGTGACCTAAAATAAAATTTAAAATCTAGGTCATGACCTAGAAATCATGACCTAGAGGTAATGACCTAGAAATCATGACCTAGAAATCATGACCTAAAAAACTAAAAATACAGGTCATTTCTAGATCACACTTTTCTGGGTTACGGTCTTAATTTCTAGGCCGTGACCTAGTTTTTCCTAGGTCAGGTTTTACTAGATCATGACCTAGATTTTTAGGCAGTGACCTGAATTCTTCAAAATTTTCAGCTTTTTTTGTGAATGTTTTCCAACTATTTCCGAATTTTTTCACCTGTTGATTATCATTAGTAGTAGTACTGATAGTGGTAGTTGTTGTTACAAGTGGTATGGCAAACTCGTTAGTGTAATCATAATCCTCATCCTCTCTCATTATTATTACACTATCTGGCGATGTCGTCGTCGTCGTCGCGACGTCTTCTGCAGAAGTCGTCGGATTCCATTCGATAGATGACGTCGAGAAAAAGGGCTCTTCTGTGTAGATCGTGTGTGGGTGCACTTCAATTTTCTCTTCTACAGTATACCGGCGAAGGGATACGGTGGAAGTTTCTGGTTGTTGTGGGGTAGAAGGGGTTACTGTAGAAGCGGTAGAAGTGTTGACGTCTTCGTGAGGTGGTAAAGTGGTGGTGACTTCGGCGGTTACGGTAGAAGCGGTAACTTCGATTTTCTCCTCTACAGTATACCGGCGAAGGGATACTGTAGAAGTTTGTGTGGTAGAAGTCGTCATGTCTTCGAGGGTTACTGTAGAAGCGGAAGGGGTAGAAGTGTCCAGTGAGAAAGTGAATGGCTCCTGGGTGTCTGTAGTTTGTAGTGTGGTGGTGGCAGTTACCAATGGGGGACTGAAGGTCGATGGATGGAGAGTTGGAGCTGATGATGGCTTGGTTGGCAAGTTGTGAAGAACCGTGGAGCGTTCTGGAAGTTTTTACTTTAAAAAATTGAGAAAAAAACTTAAATCCGAAACAGATATCAAACAGTGATCAACTGACAAAATATTTATCATATTATCAGTAACATTTTATTAGTTAATACCTTTCTTTTTATCTCTCACAGGAACCTAGATAAATTGGGTCAAAGCTACCCCACCCACCTGTAGTAAACATAGCAACTGGTCTCGAAGTGACCGTACTCTCATAATCTTCTTCGTTGGATTCCAAATTCACGATTCCATGGTGTGTGGGACCAATCGATGGTGAAACTTCTATTAGAGGTTTTCGGGTGGGAATTTCGAATCCTGGACCTCCTGGATTTTGGAATTCCTCTTCGGAATCTATCGCCACTGATGTTGGAGGATGGTATGGAGGAAGGGTTGTTGTTGGTGGTGTCCATGGAGCCCAAGTTTGTTTTGGAGTTGGGGGTGGAGTCTGGGAAGTTGTCGTTGTTGTGGGCGGAGTGGTGGTTGTGGTTGCGGTGGTGGTTGTTGGGGGCGGAGTCCAAGTGGTCCTTGTAGTTGGAGTTCTGGTAGTTGTGGAAGTTGTAGTCGGAGGTGAAGAAGTCTAAAAACACGGATTTTCAAAATATAAAGGGCTTTTAAACCAAAAATCTAATAAAGTTTCAAAACCCACCTCAGTCACTCTGATCCCTGGCATCACATGAACATGTCCACTAGTTGCTCGTGCCCATGGAGCCTCCGTAGTAGTTGTTGGAGCTTCTGTAGTAGGCGGAGCTTGTGTAGTAGTCGTCCATACCCGTGTGGTACTAGTAACGATGATTCTAGTTGTGGGCCTAGCCGTGGTTGTGGTCCTTGTAGTCGTAGTCGTTGGCGGAGGAGTCGGTGGAGTTACTGTCGGTACCGTACCCCTACTAGTTTGCGAAATATCTTCAGAATCCTCTGTGAAGTAGTCATCGTCATTATTAAAATCTGGGGTTACTGTAGTAGTTGGTCTCTGGGTTGTAGTGGTTCTGGGAATCGTCACAAGCTTTGGAGTAGGTCTACTCGTGGTTGTTGTCTTCTCCTCTCCCTTCTGAACCTCATCAAAACCCTCCTCGATAAGTTTTTCCAGATCTTCCTGAGTGATTTCTGTATTATCAATTGTTTCTCCAAGATTCTTTGCCAGCTCATCAACCAGTGCCTCTTCTAGCTCTTTCCTCATTCCATTATCCATTGTCATTGTACTTCCTCTCATTCGATCCATCACTTTTGGAATTGCCCGGTCCAATTCTTGGTTCACGGCGTGGTTTACAGTGTTTTCTAGCTGACGGTTTGGTGTGGATACTGTAGCTTTGACCTCGATGATATTGGATGGTCCGGAGAGTTTCTTTGCCTGTCCCTCATCCACAAACTCCAATGTCTCTCTATCGAAATCCTTTGTGATCACAATTGGATCCGAATGCGATCCTGGACCTCCATGGGATGTTCCGATTCCAAATAATCCATGTACAGGGGTCTTAATTTCCGTGTGGGATGGCATTCGATCCTTGGCATTCAAGTACAGATGAATAATGATGTTGTTCACCGGATCCAGTTGTTGGGGTCCCTGGAAAAATTATAATTCGCTTAGGGTTACTGTAGTTGATAGGGAATTTGGGGGAAGTTTAATCAGGATCGAAATGCCTAGATTCTATGGAAAATTCCAATTCGGGAAATTCTGAGAGTTGGGGTCAGAAAAAGGCTAGAAAAATTAAAAAATCGAGAGACATTTCGAATATCAGCCGGCGAGACTTCCACTTGAGTTTGTTGTTGGAAGGAAGACGTGGGGATTCTGATGTGGGGTTTCTGAAATTCTTTAGATAATGAGAAGACTAACTACAAACTACAAATGGACAGGGATAGCGAAAAGAAACAACAATACAAGAACAATTGACATGGATAGCAGGAACAAGGTATGTACAAGGCAAATATAGAGGAAAATACACAAAAATTCAAATTCCGCGCCAAACCACAAAGAAACCGACAATTTGAAAAACGCTAAAGACCGTACAACCTGTAATAGAAGGACCCCCCCCCCCCCAAGGTTAATCTTGAGCTCAATTATCTCAGTTCCTATGCAAGATATCAAAAATCGATCAACGGATAAAATATTGCTGATATTATGATAAACAATTTATCAGTTGACAACTTTTTGATATCTTTCACAGAAAATGGTAGAAAAGTTCACATTTTAAAAAATACACAAACATCAACTTTAAAAATCCTTATAACCACATGAAAACATGCCGGGACCATACAGAAAACATTCCAGATAAAAAATATCAGACGAAAAAAAACTATAAATTGCCTACCTGGAAGTGTTGAACTGGTACATTCGGAACTCTTGGAACCTGTCCTGGAGCTCCGGCTCTCAAATGGTTGCGTGCTGGAAGGAATGATGGGGGTGTCTGAAAATTTTTTAGAATTAAAAAAAAATTGTTAGTGTATGATTTTAAGGTTTTTTATGATCTGAAATTCCAAAAACTTTGCTTTAAAACATTAAATTCTTACCTGTGGAATCCTCTGCTGATGTACGGGTCCCTGAAACCTCCTTGGATCCTGTTGTTGAAGTTGTTGCATTTGCCAATTGAATTGTTGAGGTTGTCGATTGAAATTCCTATTATCTAGATTCAACGATGGCTTCTGGAAGTTCGGATAACTTCTTGGTGGTTGGAAATTCGATGGTCTAGGAGGTGGTTGATATCCTCGAGCCAGTGTTGGAGCTGGCTCATTTTCTTGTCTTGGTGATGGTGGTGGACGGAGGAATGGGCGGCCAATGGGGATTGCATCGTAGGTTTGGGAAGAGATCTGAAAACAGTTAACTTTGAGCTCAAATATCTCGAGTCCGGTGAAAGATATCAAAACTTTGCTAACTGATAAATTATTAATCATAATATCACCAATATTTTATCAGTTGACAACTGTTTGATATCTTATGACCGAATCGAGATAGCTGAGCTCAAAGTTTCAGGCGCCCATAGTTAAGATTCCTCCCGCCTTCTCGTTAATTGGCTTCTTAATTTACGTCACGCCCTCACCTTCAAGACGCGTTAGAGAATTCCACGTATTGGAAAAAAATCAGTGCTCTGTAAAATCTCTTTGAATTTTATTGTTGGATAATTTTCACAGGCACCTTCTCCCTATTAAGAAGCCTTTTGCATTACGCTGATTATTGTTGTCTCTTTGGCTTTTTTCTGTCGATTGGTCCGATGCGAAAAAAGTACTAAAAGGCCCTACGGGTCGCTATGTTTCCGGGTTCAT